TGCTCAGAAAAACAAAAACAAAATTGCAATTAAATTAAACAGAAAGACGGAAAAACAACAATTTAAAGCAGTATTACACTTATTTCGACCCATGTACATATAGTGCACTATTGTAGTTTAGCATATTACTAAGACACATTACTTGATGTTTGTGACAGATTTCTCAAGACTGTAACCGCAAAATCAAAAATATTACCTTCAAATCAGTGTAGTTGCATCAAAAACAATAACATTTCAAAAGCTACACACTGTACGGACTCATTTCAGAAACAAAATACTGTCAGGTCACTTTTATTTCTGTAGCACTGCATGCAAAACTTGATTATGTCAAAGCAGCTTCACAGCGATAAACGGGAAGATAACAATCAACTGTGGAGACAGTTCAGATTCTGCTCTAAAGCAGCTCTAAAAAGACAATAGTGTGGTTATTTAGCTCAAATCAGGTCAGTGTTGATTCAGTTCAAATCAATAGCAATAACAGTTAAAAATACTTTAACTAGCATTAAAGAAAGCATGGAAATTCTCAAGTAATGTAACCAAGTAATGCAAGCATTAAGCACAATCTTTTAGAACAAAAGTTATTTTCAGAATGAGAGAAAGTCACTTTAGTTTCAGAGATATTTGACTCTTAATGTTTGAAAACTGTTTTTTTATATTTATTATGGTGCAGTGTCTTGCCTTAAGACTTTTTACAGACTCATTTTAAGAGACAAGAAACAAGATTTATTTAATTTTAATGTATTCATAAATTCTTCAATAAATTAATTTCACATGGAACAGAATGTGACGATAGGTTCATTTCTAAGTGCTGTATGCTTTGAGAAATTATGGAGAACAATTGAATCGTGCCTCCACAACCGTGTAGAGTTGTTTTGATGAATCACAGATGCTGTCAGCAGAGCTTAACTTGTATTGAACCTTTTAAAGATTATTTGAAATGCTTCCTTAATTGAGAACCTTTTTCAGAGAAAACAGTCCTCCGCCTGTGAGCAGAAAATCTGACTCCAGCAAATACAGCAGACAAAGAGAGGAGTCCACGTCTAGCAACAAGGACAAAAGCGACAGCTCAAACCAAGAAACCACAGAGAAAGAAGACGAGGTGCTGGATGAAGAGGAGGGTGAACAAGCGATGCTTCACGAGAGAAGAGATGAGGAGGAAGAAAAGAAGGAAGAGGAAGAAAAGCTGGAAGAGGAGAACCCTAACGCTGCTGAGGAGGAGAATAGAGAGGGAGGTTCAAAGCAGAATCAAGAGGAAGAGGTGAGTCGATTCCTCAGAATACCTCGAAGCTGAAGTGTGTCCTAGTTTAATTTGCAGAAACCATGAGTAAGCCGTTCATCTGAAGAGTGTAAACACACTTTCCCTCAGGCGCTCTCAGAATCTCATTGCTCTGAGTTTGGGCTGCGAGAGAGGCTCTCCATTAGCAGTTTCCGTTCCCATTAGGGTTGGGCGATGTCTATAAAATTTGCATTGGACGATGTCTACTGAGAAACATCGCGATGGACGATGACGAGGGGGGGGG